GTTAGCGCTTTAAGCATGCGTCAGTGGATGGCACATTACAAATATCCATTCATTATTATTGTTATTCAGATAAAAATAAATGAATGCAGCAAAGAGGGTTTCGGTGATCCTGGCACAGTCAGGCTTATGTACTCAACTCTTCAACACATACATTGATGCAGGTATGCCGATACATTGCAGGAACCATGAAGCTGACCCTTGTGCTGCTGTTGTTGTCGGTGCTGCTGCTGCTACCGGAAGTTGAATCTTGGAGGCGGCGGAGGTTCCGACGCATCTTCAAACCAATCGTAAAACTGGGCCGCAAATATTTGCCCAAAATACATCGCGGGATCAAGACCGGGTGTCATTATTACAGGTACGTGTAATAACTACTACAAAGTGCCCGTGAAGATTCCAGGGTAGAATAGGTCTTCAGCAAACTATGCTTGTCGTAAGAGGCGACTAACGGGATCGCGGGGTCGGGCTCGCTGACTTGGTTGATGCATGGTATCGTATCCCAATCGCGTAGATCGATGCTCCAGACTTGATTATTTACAGACCGCCGTCATATATCTGGAATAATGCTGAGTGCGGCGTTAAACAACAACCAAACAAAACAAAACATATGTATCTTTTTGCCTCGAGCATTGTTGTATCAAACGAATGTTTGTCTGAACGCGAGGGGCCGGTAGGGTAGCACAGTGGTTAAAGCGTTCGCTCGTCACGCTGAAGAGCCGGGTTCGATTCCCGACATGGGTGCAATGTGTAAAGCCCATTTCTGGTGTCGTGATATTGCTGGAATATTGCTAAAAGCGGCGTAGACCCATACTCACTCACTCATTCATTCACTGCAAGTTAGGCCAACGATACTATACAGAACTGATAACGTCTCTGGACCGACCAGTCTGAGCTAAATAGAAGCCCCGTTATGTAGCAGAAATAGTGCTGAGTGCGGCGTTCAACAACAAACAAAAGATAATGACTGTTGCCTAGTTCCAGAGAACGAGCGGACACGGGCGTCAAACACTTACTTGTTATGCAAATTGTGTGACCGGCGGGTTCTACCGGTAGGGCAGGACATGCTTACCCTTTTCGCGAACACCTGGTGTCATCACTTTGCCTTTAAGGCCCGTGAAGATCCGAGGTAGAATAGGTCTTCTGCAACCCATGCTTGCCGTAAAAGGGGACTATGCTTGTCGTAAGAGGCGACTAACGGGATGGGGTGGTCAGGCTAGCTGACTTGGTTGATGCATATTATCGATCCCAATTGCATGGATCGATGCTCATGTTGTCAATCACTGCATTGTCTGGTCCAGACTCGATTATTTACAGACCGCCGTCATAAAGCTGGAATATTGCTGAGTGCGGCGTTAAACAACAAAAACGTCTAATTGAATCCGTATCGGGGGATAATTGGTTATTTTCTGGCGTTGACGTTAGACATTTACTTCGTTTTCGATGTTTCTGTTCGTCCCCGAGTAACATCAGAAGCTCAAAAGCATTTATCATTTATGCTGAGTCTTTCAATCAACTTTATTCATTTAACACTGTAGGCACTAGACCCGTAATACAATGGCAATACAATGCAGAGTTAACCACAAACGAAATATTGGTTCTGAGACATTAAAACTGCCCCCCACCCCCCACCCCCCACCCCCCTTCCCCGAGTTGCAAACTGGACATATTCATACGTTTTTCTTTACTTATAAGCAACAGAATCGCCGCTGTTGTACACCAAAGGCGTAATTACATATTAATATATCGTTTTTCGTTTCAACAAAATCAGTAAATACGCTATCGTATAACTGAAGTTTCTGGTCCATCACTTGATATTCTGGTTTGTTTACAGGCCGCCGTAGCATGGCAGGAGTACTGCTGTGCGGCGGCGGGCAACAAACACTGTTTTTTATGTAACTTGCGTAGATAATCGAGACTGGGTATTCTTTAGCGTAGGCGTTATATGTTTTCACAATCACAACAAATACAGTTGCAGCGTCGGCAACCCAGTGGTTAAAAAGAGTTGGTGTGTTTGATACCAGAATGTGTGAAGCCCATTTCCGGTATCAACCGATGTTGCTGTAATATTGCTAAATTCGGCGTAAAACCCAACTCACTCACTCATCTCTGCTTGACGTGATTCTGTTTCGCAGGACATACGTGGGTCGCCAAGCAGAGCTCCTGGACACCAACAAAGATGGCCGCGTGGACAGGTCGGAGGCCGCCAGCTACCTCGGCGTGGACCATGAGGACGAGGAGCTTCACGACTTCATGAACAAGGCTGACTTCAAACGTGAGTTACCTTCCCTCGGCATTCAGTATGCATTTATACCATGCACTTAGGGTAGGTGAAACAGCTGCTTGTGTATCAATAATAATTTTACATCGCTTTGAAAAGAATGAAAAGTATAAGTGACCATTAGGTAAGGCCGAGACTCATCTAGATATCGTTTTAAAATGTTAGTATCTCTAGGTTATTCTGTGGCCCAAACTTAACTCATCTTCTCAGTTGTCTCCCCTTGTCCACTGCAGGAGACGGCATCGTTGACTTGGACGAGTTCCTGGACGCCGCCATCATGGCACAAGCCCAGAAAGAACATCGTAAGATATTGACATGATAATTAATACCAACACTATGCTATAATCACCACTCCCGTGAAAATTCGGGGAAGAATAGGTCTTCAGCAACCCATGCTTGCCGTAAAAGGCGATTGTGCTTGTCGTAAAAGGCGACTAACGGGACCGGGTTGGTCAGGCTCGCTGACCTGGTTGATGCATGTCATCGATCCCAATTGCGTGGATCGATGCTCATGATGTCAGTCACTGGATTGTCTGCTCCAGGCTCGATTATTTACAGACCGCCGTCACAAAGCTAGAATATTGCGGAGTTCGGCTTTAAACAACAAACAAACAAACAAACAAACAAACTTGTTTCCCAATGTATAAGCTGATGTTTGTGTTTCATTTATGGTGGAATGTGTAATTGTATTTCTTTTTTTTCTATTTTAGTTGACTGAGAACCGGACCTCTTTTACTATCCATCTGTATCAATGCACACGCCAATTTTCAATAAACTCTTTTCTACTTGATATCAATTGTTGTTGTTTTTATTGAAATACACTTTACATCGCTTATGCAAAAGCTGCAGTTGTAGGCGCCAAGTGTGTTCTGAATACAATTTCACGTCTTACGTCCCGACATTGTTACAACGTCGAGTCACCCCCGGGGAAAATCTCGACCTGGGATGCAAAGAAGGGGATTCATATATCATACCCGTGAGGGGAATATAACGGTAAACGGGGCGAGGCTTCACCTGTGTGAAGATCCGGGGTAGGAAAGGTCTTCAGGAACCCGTGCTTGTCGTAAAAGGCGACTATGCTTGTCGTAAGAGGCGACTATGCTTGTCGTAAGAGGCGACTAACGGAATCGGGTGGTCAGGCTCGCTGACTTGATTGATAAATGTCATCGATCCCAATTGCGTGGATCGATGTTCATGATGTCAGTCACTGGATTATCTGGTCCAGACTTGATTATTTACAGATCGCCGTCATATAGCTGGAATATTGCTGACTGCTGCGTTAAACAACCAACCAACAAAACAAAATAATACATGATGGTAAACTAAATACGTTTAACAAAAACAAGTGGTCATGAACAACAGTTTGGTGTAATGAGTAGTAGACGATTAGTATCTATGCGGGATTTAAAGACTCACGTTAGTTCAATCCTTTTGGAATGTATTATGTATGAATATATGAATTTCAAAATTTCTAAATTGCTAGTTTTTTTTATGAAATTAGCATGACCATGCAATACTGTGTTAAGATCAACTCCCTCAGAGTAGAAGAATGAATCATGTCTTACATCAACAGAAATGGAAAGGAAATAGCGATACATGTTTATGTATGTGCATAAGAACAGGCTGCATTGTCAGAATGTGTCTTTGTGTGGTTGGGCCTTTAGATCACTACAACCAACAAGAACGTAAATTCTGACAAAATCTACTTCCAGAATTGAGATCAATATACGAATTGACATATTGATTCTGTTTAACAATCTCTTAAAATCACCAGCAGTTTCTGCATTAATAATCTCATCGGGCCATAAATGGTTTCAGTGCTTTAATATATCTGGTAAAAAACGATTGTGTAATAATCTGTCATGCATCTCAGAGTCTGTAAATTGTGAACGTCTCTCAATCTATAGCTACTATCAGCAGAGACATTTCGAGGTACTAGGGGAGAAATATATTCAGGTGTGAACCGACAGATATATTTTTTAGAAATGAATTTGTTTTAAATTCAGTCGATCTTATAAATTTCTTTGTGATATATTTTAATCCAGTGGATAATTAGTTCTTGTGTTTTTTGTTTTTCTTTTAGATTCTATTATGATTTTAACTTATTTAAAAAGAGCCCTCTTTCACCTTGGCGGTACGGGAAGGTGTGCATATCGATAAGAACAACTACACTTGTTTATATTACTGGTCGTATTCCTGCATATTGTCCAACAAAACAGTTACATTTGTTATGATTTTTCTCTTACATTAATTTACACGAAGACAATCGTTGGTACCGAACTCGAACGACGTATAAAGTACGAAAGCCGTACAGCTGACTAAGGGACGCAACTCTACATTGCCTATAAGACGCCATCAGAACACTTGTCTCACCCAAAATCGACTAATATAAATAGAATAAATTTTCATTCGAATTCTAATTAGAAATAACATTTTAGAAACATCTCAACTGAGGTCAATCAACATGACAGATATTCTTCCAACGATTTGCACGAAAACGTCGACGAGATTTTTCCCGGTTCAGCTATCCGGATTTGAGTGTTATTCCGCGAGACTTCGCGAGAGACCTTTATTCAGGCACTTCCGGTGGAAGAAGCATTAATATCGCTGCAAGTGTTTAGTCAGTTAAAGTGAAGTTACCTACACAATATCAAGATGCCGCGTATTATGATCAAGGGGGGTGTTTGGAGAAACACAGAGGTATGATATTACCGTCACAATTAACTACTTTACAAGTTTGGAAAACGAAATTCTGCGTTTGTTTATATTTGCGAGACCTAGGGTGGTTTACCGATGCACCCATTGCTATTCGTGAGGAAAACGTTTCAGTAGGCTTTGTCGGATATTGATTGGTAAAGCAAGTGCAACACCAATATACTTATTATAGTAAATCAACAGAAGTCAGGTATGATGATAATTGATTACTGTATAATACAGGAAGTCGTGTTTGTATTCATTCCTCCACAAATAATTCATACTGATAGGTCTATACGGTAAATATAAAGGTATCACCCTCACCAGTGCCATCACAATGATCATTGCATGCAAAATGGCTGAAAGAGTAAATGGAAAATTGTAAGATCGTAATAAAAATTGATAAATACAGTGATTGAATTAAAGAGTGCTGAGCTGTGCTTATTCACATGCTTGTTGTTACCCTGCCTGGCGCAGTTGAATTTTCTATTAAATTCTACTGAATTTTGTTGAAGAAGTTGTCCTTGATCCTGTTAATATCAAGAAATATTTAAGCAATCTGTACATTGGCAGCCAGTAGGAACACTGCAGAATTATTTGCTGTTTGAAATGTCAAGGTGTTTTAAATGAATAGTTTGTTCAGAAATATGCCCCAAATGAAAAGTTTGTTGGTAGTGTTTCGTCAAATTAGACCTGGTGGCAAATTAAACATGGTTCAGAGTGTTTAACATACATTAATCATGTTAATATACAGGTACATGATCATGTAGATTATAGCTCTAAACAGGCTAAATCAGTATTTTGTTGTTGTGAACATAATGAAATAACTTGATCATCATGTATTGATGTAAATTTAGATTCTTTCGCAAACACAAGTATTTTTTACATTGTTTTGCATATTTTTTTTAACAGGATGAAATTCTCAAGGCAGCTGTTATGAAATATGGCAAAAACCAGTGGGCTAGAATTGCATCTCTCCTGCACAGGAAGTCAGCGAAGCAGTGCAAGGCTCGATGGTTGGTGTTATATAATGATCATGCACTAACTATCTAACATATTTCAATTACTGTGATCAGATTTATAAGGCCCCTGTTGCAATTGCTGGAATAAATAGGTCAGCAGTCTCACATTCTTGTCAAAAGAGTTGATAAAATTTAACGATTAATTATGAAGTAATTATTAAGTATTTTATGAAAAATACTTCCAATAGCTATAATGAGACTTGTTGAATCATCTGAAATCTTCAATGTTTTGTTAATATATCAGTACATCCAGGACTAGTATTAAACCTTATTCACCTGAACATTTGCATTATTTCTATATTTCCACATGGTTATAAGCACTGGTCTGGTGTTTAAGGTACGAGTGGCTTGACCCAAGCATCAAGAAGACAGAGTGGAGTCGGGAGGAGGAAGAAAAACTTCTCCATCTGGCCAAGCTGATGCCCACACAGTGGAGAACCATCGCACCCATCATCGGCAGAACCGCTGCTCAATGTCTGGAACACTATGAGTTTCTCCTGTAAGTTGTCATGACAGAGTTAGGCACCACCACTCATCAGAAACTAGTGAAGGTTCTCAAGTATTGATTGTTTTCTCCCAAAATTCAGATATTTTGCATACAACTAGTCTGAATTTAGCGCTGTAGAAAATAGGTACCAGTAACACGTAAAGGATTATATAAGCGTGAGTCAAGTAAAGCACAAGTGATGATTATATGCTTTGGTTATTACACTTAATAAAATCCAGCTGCCTGATTGGCCAAATGTCTTGTGAAAACCTATACAAATCTGTCAGGTGGTCTGTATGGACAACATGAAGTCATTGTGACATAATTTGCTTTTCACGTCACAATTCGACCCTGATAGCGTTTTCTAAGTTATCCCACTGAACCCACGAAGTATTGACTGTGTGTTGAGTTGTTGCTACCAGAGTGGAGTGCTGTTGATGCAGATGCTCCTTCTCTCTAGGGACAAAGCACAGAACCGAGATGATTCTGAGGATGATCCAAGAAAACTCAAACCGGGAGAAATTGACCCCAACCCAGAAACAAAACCAGCACGACCTGACCCCGTTGACATGGACGAGGATGGTGAGATTGCTAGTGGGCCAGAACATGTTCCTGGTATTGTTTGATGAACTAGATGATTGGGTGGTGACAATGGCTACTGAGGAAGGATATCATGTCCTTCATTAAAAAAACAAGTGTTTGAAGATGAGCTCTTGATGATCCATACTGATCCTTTCTATTATTGTATTCACCTCCATTGCTTTGTTTTTAGTCAGGTTGGAATTACACCCTTCTTTCAATAGTGGCATATATCTCCGTCACTAGTACATGAGAACTGACTCATCTTGTTGGGTACCATCTCACCACCTTACATTTTCACTACTTCACCGTCACATCTCCCTAGCCCACCCGTGAAGATCCAGGTTAGAATAGGTCTTCAGCAACCTATGCTTGTCATAAGAGGCAACTTACAGGATTGGCAGGTCAGGCTTGCTGATTTGGTTGTTGCATGTCATCGTATCCCAATTGCATGGAACAATACTCATGATATCAATCACTGGATTTTCAGGGCCAGACTCGATTATTTACAGACCATATTCATATAGCTGAAATATTGCTGAGTGTGGTGTAAAGCAACAAACGAACCTCACCATCTCACCCCCACTCACCACCTCTCCCCCTATTCTCACACCTCTTCTCACATCTCACCACCTCAGGACTCCTCTTCGTCGGTGCTCATGAAAACATCCCCTCCAGCTAAAAGTGCAGATATGATCCAAGGGTTGGCTTTTAAGGGCTTTTATTTGGATGATGATCTATGCCAAAATATCTTCAGAAGAATCATTTGTTTAAAAGCAGGAGAAATTCACCAAGGCTGACCACCGAATACATTTGGTTGTTTCTCATGACAGGTATCCATTGCTTTGGCCTCTTCCGACCTGGAATCCCCGTTTTAAGATATTCTGTTAAACCTCGGACATTAAGGTTCATTTGAAAAAATTAGCCTAATGATTGATATACTATGATGATATCTAGGAACAAATTATTCTTGATTGGAAAGTGTGCAAAGTCTTGCAGCAGGTGTGAAGCTGTATATGTGTGTTTCAGAGCTGGAGATGTTGTCCGAGGCCCGCGCCAGGCTGGCCAACACGCAGGGCAAGAAGGCCAAGCGGAAGGCCAGGGAGAAGCAGCTGGAGGAAGCCAGGTACGTGCCACGGACACAGACACATCTCGTGCTCCCTTCTCATTACAGGGGAGACAACTATATGTGAGCACCAGTGAGATGACTGGAACATAGCACATTGGCAACTGAGGCAAGCAGGGCTTACATCTGGCCAGAAGGATGCTTCATCACTATCACTAGTTACAATCGTCATGCTGGGTAGCTGGGGTTGAAAGTTTACAAAATACAGAGGCAGTTTATGATTAATGGGGTACCTAGATTAAAATACTCTCTGTATATGAGAAAATGTCAAAGTTCCCAGAACCAACAATATTTGCAAAATGTGTTTGGATGACCAAGCTTCAGATTGTTTTATGTTTGTTGGCGGGGCAGTTACATCATCATATATGTCACACCAAAAGATGTTAAAAGATGGTACTTGTTGTTACCCTGCCTGGCGCTCGGCTTTAAGGGGCTAAAACAAGGACTGGTCGGCTCGAGGTCAGTACACTGTGTCTGAGTGGGGTATTCATGTTTAACTGGAACATGGTATCTCAGTGGGCTAGCACTATAAAATTAGTACAAGTAGCCACACATATGTCCATGCATGTCGCTATATAAGTGCAGTAATATTGTACGTGAGATGAAACCCCATTTTACCTCTCTTTCAGGAGACTGGCGGCACTACAGAAGAGGAGGGAGCTCAGGGCAGCTGGCATTGAGTAAGTTGGAAGCATTTGAAGTCATTATAAAACCCAACAAGACAGTCAGGCAGGTGACCCATAAATGTTGCCTGCCCATCTTCAAAGTTACCTGCCCGCATTCAGACGTTATAAATATTTAAAAGTCGCAAAAAGAGACCAATAGCATCTTGGTTCAGTTGAAATAATGCAAACAATTACTTGAGAGTCTAAGAGGAGTTAAAATAAAACAGAATATGTAAGTAGTCTTAATATTATCTACCAGTTGGACAGGTGGAGGAAAATTTCATGAAGCCCCACAGAAAAGTTACCAGCCACGGGAAGTCGGGCAGGCAGTTATTTCAGACACTGGGTCAAACTGTGGCCTGTGTTAACTAATTATTAAGAAGCACCCTGTTTGTGGAAGTGGAACAAAGTACCATGGGTACTTCCTTTTAGTATTATGTTTGGTAACCATGGTAACACAACTGATCAACTTGAAAAATATTAATATTTTTACCTTTTTAGTTTGGCTGATTCAAAAGTTTGACGTTTGATTCAGTATTAGCTTCAGAAGGTGTAGGCCAGTTCGGATGAGAATGAACGTGTTCTTGTGTCCGTTTTTCAGTGCTAAACAGAAGAAGAGAAAGAAGAGGGGTGTTGACTACAATGCTGAGATTCCATTTGAGAAGAAACCAGCTTCTGGTAATGCTCACTTGTCACTGGCTCATTAAATTACTTCTCATTTCTCGTAGGCAATTAGTTCAGAAAAAGAAAAATGGTGACATTTTTTACATGTAAGGACCATCGCAAAAAGATGCATGTGCTCTTGTCTATTGTGCATGAGCCGTCTTTTTCATAGACAAGATGGTATGTCATGCATATACCTGGCCCACCAACGATTTACAGTTGGCTGTGTCAAGAATCGTGCGATGGATGCAAGTATTTACGGTTTCATAACTAGTCAGTGTTTGGTGTAACAGTTATAATAGCGAACAGTTAAGGTAAGAATCCATTTTTTTAACTTAGTGAGTGACTGTGATCAATACTTGCATTGAGAAGTAAAAAATCACCTAACACCGCTGTGTAAGGGTGCACAATATTACCTGTACATCGGTAAATTGAGGTTCACTCTTTCCACGGTACCTATCAAAATATCACTCTGTAATGCTTAGCATGTCAGGTGATGTCAAACAGCGATTTGTATTGTGTGTTTATACACTTGCCGAATACCCAGAGCATGCATTCGGAACGTGCATCCGAACAAATTTTTTTAAAGGAGTAAACATTATGTTGTACCAGCATCTTGTTTTGTTCCATTTATGAACTTCAGTTCATATGCTGGTGTTTCAAATTGCTACAGAATTCAAAATTTAGAATTAGAAAATATGTCATGATACGGCCTTGTACATTGTAAAATATTGTGATACACATTAAGCCTCCAATACCCATCCCTACCAGTGTGTGGTCCCACGACTGACATCCCCTGTATTGTGCAGGGTTTTACGACACGTCGGAGGAGCACTACAATCCCCTGGACCCCAACTACAAGAAGCTGCGGCAGCAGAACCTGGACGGGGAACTCCGCAGCACCAAGGAGGAGGTGGGACACCTTCGTTTTTGTCAAATGATCTGGGAAAAACAAGATTTTATTCTGAATTTTTGTGAAAATGGATAAAAACGGGAATTCATCATTGGGTCGAGTGTTAGTCAGGTAAGACTTGTAAGGACGTGTCAGCTAACACTGTATCTATTCCTTCCCTCACTCCAGAGAGATAGAAAGAAGGACAAGCAGAGACAGAAGAAGCGGAAGGAGAACGACCTTCCTGGAGCCATTGCTGCCCAAACAAAGTAAGTCCGTGTTATTCATGTTATCAAGTGTTGTGAGTTTGGTCAATATCAGGGTTTATAGACAGGTATAATATGGGACGTGGGATTGGACAATGGCTTCATCCACACTTAGACAAGGTTCAGTCTCTTAATATACAACATGGTGTAGGACAGCGGCTTAATCCACACTTCGATGTTTAGGGCTTATTATAGAACATGATATAGGACAGTGACTTAATCCACACTTCGAGGTTCAGCTCTTATTATAGGACATGGTATAGGACACCGGCTTAATCCACACTTCGAGGTTCAGCTCTTGTTATAGGACATGGTATAGGACACTGGCTTAATCCACACTTCGAGGTTCAGGGCTTATTATAGGACATGGTATAGGACACCGGCTTAATCCACACTTCGAGGTTTAGGGCTTATTATAGGACATGGTATAGGACAGTGACTTAATCCACACTTCGAGGTTTAGGGCTTGGTATAGGACAGTGACTTAATCCACACTTCGAGGTTTAGGGCTTGGTGTAGGACAGCGACTTAATCACACTGGAGATGACTGTGATGGAGATGCAGCCCGACTACTGCGCTGTAAGACAACGTGCACTGTTTCAGGTCGTTTCAGCAATACTTCCAGGTGCAGTTGCCCCTTCATGATTGTACATCGAGAACCCCACCCTTGTGTCTTTGATGTCAAATATATCAGCACAGGAGATTGTATTCATTATCCCCGATTGTTCTGTCTACTTTGTCAGCTTGTAAACAGTTCTGACCAGCATCTTGTGTGTGATCATACAGCTCACCAGCTTCAGTGGCAGAAGGATCAGTGATGTCCCTTGTTTGTGACATAAAGGACACAGTGGCCTGATGCTACATCAGTGTAGGGATAACTCCTAGGAGATATGGGGTGGCCCAGTCGTCTAAGGTGCCGCGATTCGCTGTGCAGAGTTGCGTCCCTTGGGCACGCCAGAAACCTATGATTGTGGGTTCGAATCCCGGTTCGCCCCGATTATGTTTCTAGGTTTTGTCAGCACGTGCTCGTGGGTTTCACCGAAGTGCTAAAAGTCGGAGACCTGCATCACTTCGGGCTTTCCTCCCACATTAAGCTGACACACCGTGGTATAACTGGAATACTGTTAAAAGCGGCGTAAAACCCAACTCACTCACTCCTAGGAGATATGGCTTGGCTTAGATGTAACCAGCTGGGATGATAAAATTGCCATATTGTTCCAGCTTTACGGAACCTGTGAAGAAAAGGAGCAAGTTGGTGCTCCCCGCACCCCAGATCTCGGACGCCGAACTTGAAGAGGTCGGTATAGTTTTCTTATACCTTTTTTGTAGTATATTAACTGAAATTTTTAAAACTTATCCGGTCTCACAGTGTGCGTTTGCCCTTCTTTCCTTAAACAAAAACATATTCTGTTCAAACTCAAACAACGTCTCCACACAAGGCAATTAGAAAGAGAATGGGTAAGCTGGGGATGTCATGTGATCAATTAAGCATGAAACAAGCCAGGGCACAGCCTATTGTTGTTAATGGTAGCCATGGATATGGGGGATGTGTTGGGGTGCATTGTTTTAGGATTGTTTCCACACAAGGATCGAGAAAGAAGTGGAAATGCATACTGTGAGATAGGATAAATATTTATAGATATACAATTTATTGTAAAATTTATTTGATTCTGTGTGCTGGTTGTGATGATGGGCCAGTGGTTAAAGTGTTCATCTGTCTGGTGTTCTAGATTTCCAGGTGGTGAAGGTGGGCCAGTTGGTAATGCGTTCACCTGTTCGATGTTCTAGATGGGTTTGATTCTGTGTGCAGGTGGTGAAGGTTGGCCGGTGTGTAATGTGTTCAACCGTTCGGTGTTCTAGATGGGTTTGCTTCTGTGTGAAGGTGGGCCGGTGTGTAATGCGTTCACCTATTCGTTGTTCTAGATGGGTTTGATTCTGTGTGCAGGTGGGGAAGGTTGGCCGGTGGGTAATGCGTTCACCTATTCGGTGTTCTAGATGGGTTTGATTCTGTGTGAAGCTGGGCCAGTGGGTTTATGCGTTTCGTCTGTTCAGTGTTCTAGATGGGTTTGATTCTGTGTGCAGGTGGTGAAGGTGGGCCAGTGGGTAATGCGTTTCGTCTGTTCGGTGTTCTAGATGGGTTTGATTCTGTGTGCAGGTGGTGAAGGTGGGCCAGTGGGTAATGTGTTCAGCTGTTCAGTGTTCTAGATGGGTTTGATTCTGTGTGCAGGTGGTGAAGGTGGGCCAGTGGGTAATGCGTTTCGTCTGTTCGGTGTTCTAGATGGGTTTGATTCTGTGTGCAGGTGGTGAACGTGGGCCAGTGGGTAATGCGTTTCGTCTGTTCGGTGTTCTAGATGGGTTTGATTCTGTGTGCAGGTGGTGAAGGTGGGCCAGTGGGTAATGTGTTCAGCTGTTCAGTGTTCTAGATGGGTTTGATTCTGTGTGCAGGTGGTGAAGGTGGGCCAGTGGGTAATGCCTTTCGTCTGTTCGGTGTTCTAGATGGGTTTGATTCTGTGTGCAGGTGGTGAAGGTGGGCCAGTGGGTAATGTGTTCAGCTGTTCAGTGTTCTAGATGGGTTTGATTCTGTGTGCAGGTGGTGAAGGTGGGCCAGTGGGTAATGCGTTTCGTCTGTTCGGTGTTCTAGATGGGTTTGATTCTGTGTGCAGGTGGTGAAGGTGGGCCAGTGGGTAATGTGTTCAGCTGTTCAGTGTTTCCAGATGGGTTTGATTCTGTGTGCAGGTGGTGAAGGTGGGCCAGTGGGTAATGCGTTCACCTGTTCGGTGTTCTAGATGGGTTTGATTCTGTGTGCAGGTGGTGAAGGTGGGCCAGTGGGTAATGTGTTTCGTCTGTTCGGTGTTCTAGATGGGTTTGATTCTGTGTGCAGGTGGTGAAGGTGGGCCAGTGGGTAATGCGTTCACCTGTTCGGTGTTCTAGATGGGTTTGATTCTGTGTGCAGGTGGTGAAGGTGGGCCAGTGGGTAATGCGTACACCTGTTCGGTGTTCTAGATGGGTTTGATTCTGTGTGCAGGTGGTGAAGGTGGGCCAGTGGGTAATACGTACACCTGTTCGGTGTCCTAAATGGGTTTGATTCTGTGTGCAGGTGGTGAAGGTGGGCCAGTGGGTAATGCGTTCACCTGTTTGGTGTTCTAGATGGGTTTGATTCTGTGTGCAGGTGGTGAAGGTGGGCCAGGCCAGTGAGTATGCTCGGCAGCAGGCGGAGGAAGCCTCCAGGGGGGACAGTGCCTCCAGGGGACTCCTGCAGGACTACAATGCTACTCCCAACGCTGTCAATCTCCGGACTCCTCGCACACCTGCTGCTCAAGACACAATATTACAGGTAAGTGAAGATGTAAAACAACAAAAGCATACTTGTGAAGCAATAATCCTTAGTGATTTTAGCATTAAATCTGTTGTTCCTCCAAAACTTTAACTTTTGCTTACTATTGTCTTAACATTGTGATCAATTTGTGAAGAAAGAGTTTTTTCCTTCACTTGAGACGTTTTTTTCCTCGATGTGCTTTTCATTTGAATACATTTGTTGACGTAAGAAAGTAGCATTACTAACAATTCAATTATGTCAGTATATCTGCATACGTAGGTCAACTTTCTGCAGTGGTTACACTGACATTCTCTATCTCCTAATACACATTACTGACTGCTGTCAAAGCTCTGTCACTCACCCAAGCTAGACATCAAAACATCACTCCTGCAACTATTCTGACACTCCCCTCTCCACCTTCTGCTATGCTTCCCTCTGCTATACTTCATGACTCCATCAAGTCAGTGATACTTCCCTCTGCTATACTTCATGACTCCATCAAGTCAGTGATACTTCCCTCTGCTATACTTCATGTCTCCATCAAGTCAGTGATACTTCCCTCTGCTATACTTCATGTCTCCATCAAGTCAGTGATACTTCCCTCTGCTATACTTCATGTCTCCATCAAGTCAGTGATACTTCCCTCTGCTATACTTCATGACTCCATCAAGTCAGTGATACTTCCCTCTGCTATACTTCATGACTCCATCAAGTCAGTGATACTTCCCTCTGCTATACTTCATGTCTCCATCAAGTCAGTGATACTTCCCTCTGCTATACTTCATGACTCCATCAAGTCAGTGATACTTCCCTCTGCTATACTTCATGTCTCCATCAAGTCAGTGATACTTCCCTCTGCTATACTTCATGTCTCCATCAAGTCAGTGATACTTCCCTCTGCTATACTTCATGTCTCCATCAAGTCAGTGATACTTCCCTCTGCTATACTTCATGACTCCATCAAGTCAGTGATACTTCCCTCTGCTATACTTCATGACTCCATCAAGTCAGTGATACTTCCCTCTGCTATACTTCATGTCTCCATCAAGTCAGTGATACTTCCCTCTGCTATACTTCATGTCTCCATCAAGTCAGTGATACTTCCCTCTGCTATACTTCATGACTCCATCAAGTCAGTGATACTTCCCTCTGCTATACTTCATGACTCCATCAAGTCAGTGATACTTCCCTCTGCTATACTTCATGTCTCCATCAAGTCAGTGATACTTCCCTCTGCTATACTTCATGACTCCATCAAGTCAGTGATACTTCCCTCTGCTATACTTCATGACTCCATCAAGTCAGTGATACTTCCCTCTGCTATACTTCATGTCTCCATCAAGTCAGTGATACTTCCCTCTGCTATACTTCATGTCTCCATCAAGTCAGTGATACTTCCCTCTGCTATACTTCATGTCTCCATCAAGTCAGTGATACTTCCCTCTGCTATACTTCATGTCTCCATCAAGTCAGTGATACTTCCCTCTGCTATACTTCATGACTCCATCAAGTCAGTGATACTTCCCTCTGCTATACTTCATGACTCCATCAAGTCAGTGATACTTCCCTCTGCTATACTTCATGTCTCCATCAAGTCAGTGATACTTCCCTCTGCTATACTTCATGTCTCCATCAAGTCAGTGATACTTCCCTCTGCTATACTTCATGTCTCCATCAAGTCAGTGATACTTCCCTCTGCTATACTTCATGACTCCATCAAGTCAGTGATACTTCCCTCTGCTATACTTCATGACTCCATCAAGTCAGTGATACTTCCCTCTGCTATACTTCATGTCTCCATCAAGTCAGTGATACTTCCCTCTGCTATACTTCATGACTCCATCAAGTCAGTGATACTTCCCTCTGCTATACTTCATGTCTCCATCAAGTCAGTGATACTTCCCTCTGCTATACTTCATGTCTCCATCAAGTCAGTGATACTTCCCTCTGCTATACTTCATGTCTCCATCAAGTCAGTGATACTTCCCTCTGCTATACTTCATGACTCCATCAAGTCAGTGATACTTCCCTCTGCTATACTTCATGACTCCATCAAGTCAGTGATACTTCCCTCTGCTATACTTCATGACTCCATCAAGTCAGTGATACTTCCCTCTGCTATACTTCATGTCTCCATCAAGTCAGTGATACTTCCCTCTGCTATACTTCATGTCTCCATCAAGTCAGTGATACTTCCCTCTGCTATACTTCATGACTCCATCAAGTCAGTGATACTTCCCTCTGCTATACTTCATGTCTCCATCAAGTCAGTGATACTTCCCTCTGCTATACTTCATGTCTCCATCAAGTCAGTGATACTTCCCTCTGCTATACTTCATGTCTCCATCAAGTCAGTGATACTTCCCTCTGCTATACTTCATGTCTCCATCAAGTCAGTGATACTTCCCTCTGCTATACTTCATGACTCCATCAAGTCAGTGATACTTCCCTCTGCTATACTTCATGACTCCATCAAGTCAGTGATACTTCCCTCTGCTATACTTCATGTTGCTGTCTTGCAGGAAGCCCAGAACATCATGGCGCTGACCAACGTGGACACTCCACTGAAGGGGGGACTCAACACCCCCATACACAACAGTGACTTCAGCGGCATCACCCCCAAAAACCAGACATCCCAGACACCCAACACCGTCCTTGGTACACCCTTCAGGACACCCGGGCAGGTGGGGGAAGGGGGTAAGTGCTGCAGGTAGTCTCTGCCCCTGGGGCAGAATATATCCCCAGTACTCCACCCATGGGGACTATATCCCCAGTACTCCACCCACGGGGAATATATCCCCAGTACTCCACCCAGGGGGAATATATCCCCAGTACTCCACTCACGGGGATTATATCCCCAGTACTCCACCCACGGGGAATATATCCCCAGTACTCCACCCACGGGGAATATATCCCCAGTACCCCACCTCCACCCACGGGGATCCCCAGTACTCCACCCCAGGGAATATATCCCCAGGACTCCACCCACGGGGAATATATCCCCAGTACTCCACCCACGGGGAATATACCCCCAGTACTCCACTTACGGGGAATATATCCCCAGTACTCCACCCATGATATTGGATATCTATGTATGTTACCCCCAAGTGTTTGTAAGACAATGTGTGAAGCCCATTTCTGGTGTTCCCCACCATGATAGTGCTGAAATTTTGCTAAATGCGGCGTAAAATCATACTCACTCACATTGTAAGACTATATTTCTGATAACCAGGTATCACCCCAAGGACAGGCCTAACCCCCCGGGCCACCCCCCAGGGCACACCGATGAGGGACAGACTGAACATTAACCAGCTGGACGAGGAGGAAACTGCTCAGTACGACAAATTCTACCAGGTACAGACACACGTACCATACTTTCATAACTATGTGCAGATGCCAAACTCTAATGTAGGATTAAACTAAGAGTAAGAGCACATTCTGTATTCCTTCAGAATCTGTCAGGTCCCTAGCACCATGCTGCCATACCTGGCATGTGACCTGACTGAACCATAACAGGGTGGTTATAGTGAGCAGCTTGGCTGTGTCACCGTACGTAGACGGCATGGTTCAGTACTCATGCTGTCAACCACTAGTTTGTATCGCACAGGCTGTGACAGAGCTGAAACATTGCTGACTACAGCATCATACATTATCACTTCCTCACTCACTACTGATATCTACCCTGTGAAGATCAGGGTAACATTTGGTCTTTAGCAATCCATGCTCGTTGTAAGGGGCGACCAACAGGATTGGGTTGTCAGACTCGCTGACTTGGTTGATGCATGTTTAACTGATATATAACTAGTCATTCATGATATGAGCTGACTTGGTTTGATGCATGTCATCGTATCCCAATTGTGTGGATTGATGCTCATGATGTCAATCACTAGATTGTCTGGTCCAGTCTCGATTGTTTACCGACTGCTGTCATATGGCTGGAATATTGCTGAATGCAACATTAAACAACAAACAAACACTATTGATGCCAAGACTCTTGCCAGTGCTAACACTGTTAACACTAATGTTAACCATGTTAACACTGATGTTCTGCTTTAGCGAGATATGAAGGAACAGTTGAGACGAGGCCTGGCTGGACTACCGGCGCCGAAGAATGACTACGAGATCGTTGTCCCAGAGGATGAACTGCAGGGTGGCGAGGAATCATCGGCGATGGACAGTCACGTCGAGGACCAAGCAGACATCGACAACCAAACCGAGCTGGAGATTCAGCAGCGACGTCTTGAAGAACTCAAACTGAGGTCGCAGTCCGTGCAGAGGGACCTGCCAAGACCCACTGATGTCAACTCCAGCATCTTGAGAGTAGTCGGTCCAGGGGATCCACCTCTTAGTGAATTACAGAAGGTGGGTCACATACTTTATACATTGTAATCACCGTCAGTGACTGTTGTGACATGACATGCAGGGATCCTGCTTCCTGATTGATCTGCTATTGTGCCAGGAGTATTGAATCTAGTGTGCCAGGGGTATTGAATCTAGTGTGCCAGAGGTATTGAATCTAGTTTGCCAGGGGTATTGAATCTAGTGTGCCAGAGGTATTGAATCTAGTTTGCCAGGGGTATTGAATCTAGTGTGCCAGGGGTATTGAATCTAGTATGCCAGGGGTATTGAATCTAGTTTGCCAGGGGTATTGAATCTACAGTGCCAGAGGTATTGAATCTAGTTTGCCAGGGGTATTGAATCTAGTTTGCCAGGGGTATTGAATCTAGTTTGCCAGGGGTATTGAATCTAGTTTGCCAGGGGTATTGAATCTAGTTTGCCAGGGGTATTTAATCTAGTTTGCCAGGGGTATTGAATCTAGTTTGCCAGGGGTATTGAATCTAGTGTGCCAGGGGTATTGAATCTAGTTTGCCAGGGGTATTGAATCTAGTTTGCCGGGGTATTGTATCTAGTGTGCCAGGGGTATTGAATCTAGTTTGCCGGGGGTATTGAAGTTACATTGCCGGGGGTATTGAATCTAGTGTGCCAGGGGTATTGAATCTAGTTTGCCGGGGGTATTGAATCTAGTTTGCCGGGGGTATTGAATCTAGTGTGCCGGGGGTATTGAATCTAGTGTGCCAGGGGTATTGAATCTAGTGTGCCAGGGGTATTGAATCTAGTTTGCCGGGGGTATTGAAGTTACATTGCCGGGGGTATTGAATCTAGTGTGCCAGGGGTATTGAATCTAGTGTGTCGGGGGTATTGAATCTAGTGTGCCGGGGGTATTGAATCTAGTGTGCCGGGGGTATTGAATCTAATGTGGCAGAGACAAACCAACTGTATTTGTTTTCAAGACCCGTGAAGATCCAGGGTAGAATAGGTCTTCAGCAACCCATGCTTGCCATAAAAGGGAACTATGCTTGTCGTAAGAGGCGACTAACGGGATCAGGTGGTCAGGCCTGTGACTTGGTTGATGCATGTCATCGTATCCCAATTCCGTTAGTCGATCCTCATGATGTCAATCACTGGATTGTCTGGTCCAGACTTGTTTATTTACAGACCACTGTCAAATAGCTGGAATATTGCTGAGTGCAGGGTCAAACAACAAACATACAAACAAACATGTTTCAAATGAAGTGTTACTGGTATGAAACTAATGAGTGAAACATCAACTTGGAACCACAGTAGTTTATGTCAAAGTTATTACATGCAGTATAACTGCTTAACCACTGACTCTCACAGGCGGAGGAGCTGATCAAACGAGAGATGATCACAATGGTCCACTACGATGCAGTGTACAGCCCCACCCTGGCCCAGCTGGGCATCACCCCCAGCTCCAAGAAACCTGTCCCCAGCCAGAAGGGCATCGTCAACCAGGCCCAGCACCTGGCGTTCCTAGAGCAGCACCCTTACGACAACTTCTCCGAGGAGGACCTGCATGATGTGAGTTGCAGAGGGACGATGCACCAGTGCATCTGTAGATTGCGATTTTTTACTTCATGATAAAAGTATCGATCACAGTCACACACTAAGTGAAAAATATCGATTCATTCCTTAAATGTTTACTTTAACTGTTACGCCAAACACTAATTAGTAGTGAAAATAAGTCTACATACATTGCGGTGTACTTGACTCTTCCAACTGGGAATCATCAGTGTGCCAGGTATTTGGCCTTCCTGTCTTTTAAAAAGATGGGTTATGCAACACAAATAAGAGCACATGCAAGTATTATGATACGTATTGGATAACACTTATGTGAGAGTGTTGATACGTATTGGATAACACTTATGTGAGAGTGTTGATACGTATTGGATAACACTTATGTGAGAGTGTTGATACGTATTGGATAACACTTATGTGAGAGTGTTGATACGTATTGGATAACACTTATGTGAGAGTGTTGATACGTATTGGATAACACTTATCTGAGAGTGTTGATACGTATTGGATAACACTTATGTGAGGGTGTTGCATCGTTTCAGGCGCGAGCGATGCTGAAGCAGGAAATGGAGGTGGTAAAGGAAGGGATGGCTCACGGGGAGTTGTCTCTCGAGGCGTTCTCCCAGGTGTGGGACGAGTGCTACTCCCAGGTCCTCTTCCTGCCCTCCCAGGGCCGCTACACAAGGGCCAACCTGGCCAGCAAGAAGGACAGGATTGACTCACTCGACAAGAGGCTAGAGGTAGGTGGGCAGGGCCTTCAGGTCAAGTTGTAAAGCCATGGTGGACGTGTCCTGTGTACAGTTAAGCAACAATGGTTGCAGAGGGTATATATGTATGGGTGAATAGCTATAAAGCCATGGTGGACTCCTGAGTGTTTCTGTTGCATTATGTTGTATTCCACCTTTCATGTGGTCCACACACTGATCACTGATGTGGCTGTAAAAATGCTGAAAGCAGAGAAAAACACTACTCACATGCACACTCTCACACAAACACCGCACACATGCAATAACCTTGACTGCAGTGTTAAACCCATTCCACACCACCCTCCCATGTGTATGTAGATGTGACTTTCTCTGCAGGCTAACAGAGGACACATGACAAAAGATGCCAAACAGGCTGCCAAGCTGGAGAAGAAGCTGAAGATATTGCTGGGAGGCTACCAGGTGAGTACTGACTGGACCGACCGGACTGACTGGACCTACTGGACAGACCGGACAGACCGGACAGACCAGACTCAAGTGGGGTTATGCTGACTAATTTCTTTACTCTGTAGAAATCAGTAGAATTTTTTGAAATAGTAGGAATTATAAAATGCTATTGATACTGAAAAGTGGAAGTGATGCACAACCTGTGACCATTATGGCCCAGGCATCACATTGGAGGAGACTTGTACAGAACTGTAGGGCCAAGGGACAAAAGCCCAGTAAAACATCTGTATGGGAAAGATGTTGTAGAGAATGGGGCAACTGTTTGTGGTATGTGGTGTTGATGCAGTGATGTAGTACATGTTGTGTTTGACGTACGTGGTGTTGTTGCAGTCGCGGTCACAAGCCCTGGTGAAGCAGCTGCACGACGTGTACGAGCAGATTGAACAGACATTTGTTGAACTGAAAACATTCGAAAACCTCCGACAACATGAGATCGGAGCCATTCCTAAACGCATGGAGGTAAAGTTTCAGTCTGTCTGCAGGGTATACTTATTGGCTATATTTTCTTTTCCATATAGAGCATGGTGAAGCACATATGTGGTGTCTCCAGCTGGGACCGGACTGTGTAAACCACATTCATATGAACATCTACAACTTTAGGGATAACAACTTCTGGCTTATTGCACTTAGCGATGTTTAGATGTAGATTCTTACATTAAAATGCATTAAATGCAATCAACCAGAATTTGTTATCCCTAAAGTTGTCTGTTTTCTTATTTACTCACCAACTTCTAGAATGCCGACAGTCATATGCACTCACTTTAAACCTGTTCGATGACACAAGGGATGGACTACTTTTCTCTCAGTAAATGCATCTAGTGAGGAGCTGCTCTGTTTTCTTCTTGTACTTTGTGAAGCCTATCGTTGGTGGTGGGGTAGTCTAGTGGTTGTCGCACCATAGGCCTGGGTTAGATTCCCAACATAGGTAAACTCTGTGAAGCCCATTTCTATTGTCCAAACCATATTATTGCTGGAATATTACTAAAACCTGGGCAAGAACTGTATTCATTCACTAGTAAATTTATGATGTGAGGAATGTGTTCATAACTCTCTGTAGTTACATCTTGATCTTAAGTGTCAGTTACAACCTGTTACAACTGGACATTGAGTGTCAGTTACAACCTGTTACAACTGGACATTGAGTGTCAGTTACAACCTGTTACAACTGGACATTGAGTGTCAGTTACAACCTGTTACAACTGGACATTGAGTGTCAGTTACAACCTGTTACAACTGGATATTGAGTGTCAGTTACAACCTGTTACAACTGGATGTTGAGTGTCAGTTACAACCTGTTATAACTGGATGTTGATTGTCTGTTTCAGTCCTTGACAGAAGACGTTCAGAGACAGACGGAGAGAGAACGCGAGCTACAGAAACGATACGGAGAACTTCAGCATCGGCGGGACATCATTTACTAGTGGATGAAATGTGCATGTACAGGCGGGACATTATTTACTAGTTTTACAGACTTTGCTGCAACATCTTCATCAGTTCACAGTGTGTGGTGGCGCGTCGTCTCAGTGCCGCAGTTCGCTGTTAAAGTCCTTTAGGTTTCCAGCAAGATAAGCCTGGGTCTGATTATGTTTTCAGGTCTGTCACCACCATGACCATGCCGTGGTTTCCACCAAGGTGGGGAACTAAGACCTGATCACCCACAACAAGCTGACACGATATGTAACTGAAACATTGTTGAAAGTGGCTTTGAACCCAACTCCCTCGGAGTGTGGCGTACACTGCTGTTGCTGACTGGGAAGTGCTTGTCAGAAGAGAGTTTTACATCCAGGATCCCTGGTGACCACAGTGCAAGCAGCAAAATGAAAACACTTCTTATCATCATATGTGAACATAAACCAACCAGTCGAGTTGTCATGGTAACCAATTGGTCATTGGAATTCTTTTTGGCTAGAAAAGATCTGGCGTTTTATGACTAGGCTTAGTTTTGTATGATCTAGCCACAGAACTATGTTTGACTGATTTCAAGCCTTCCTACCGAGCTCACGTTACCTGGGGAATTCCAGGTTAGAATAGGTCATCAGCATCCTATGCTTGTCCTGCAGGATGACTAAATGGATTGGGTTGTCAGGCTGACCTGGTTGGTCCGTTGTCATCATGCATAAACAACAATATAAGTTGTATCACGATCTCTCATACATGGGTTTTTTTGCGTCGCGCGTTAGGTTTTATACCACGAGCCTTGAGTGATGCTGCTACAACAAATTTATCTTGTCAACAAGTTTTAATATGACATTGTATAAGAATTAAAACAAATTCAAAATTGGTAGAAAACAGCGTGCAGCCTATTGCTTCGAAGCGGGGTATAAGGGATTTATTCTGCCTCTCAGATATCCAGATGCAGCCTGACTTGCTTGTGGCGTGGTATAAGGGATTTATTCTCCCGCTGAGAAATGTATTTCCCTCCAAGGCGGGATACATCATATTTTATCAAGATCACATGAACCAATCAGATCTCATCATTCTGACATTGAGGTATTATAAAGAAGGTTACTCATCATTCTGACATTGAGGTATTATAAAGAAGGTTACTCATGCTATCTATCACTGGTCTCACCTGTTTACAGGCCACCAAGATACAGCTGGACTATTGCAATGACAGCATTACACAACCATCATCCTTAAACATGTTAAAGAAAAAGTAGCTACGCCAATGTCTGTTAACCCTGGCAGTGAGATGTTCGTACAACACATACTGGGATAAATCAGTATACATTTGGACTTTGGATTTCAATCTTTTTACTGGATGTCATATAAAGAAATAAAAGAATGTCTCCAGCTACTCACCATATGATCCAACCAACTCTCTGATAACTTTGTAATCCACAAGTTCCTAGTTACAACTACGTCCTCAATAACGCATCATGAAGTAATCTGTCAAACTATTGCTTGATTTACTGCTATAGGTCTTCTCCTACTAATGCATCACTGAGGAAAATGTCAAACAATTGACTGCATTTACTGAAGAATAAATACATAGCTGTAGCTGATGACTAAACAATAAGGGCCTCTTTAAGACCTGTGTTGTAGGACCCCATGAGGACACATTATGGAATTAGGTAAACCACATCATGTTTTGTTCTGTTAAGCCTTGTAGAAAGTAAAAGGTTTGTGTAGGATTTAATAATGTTCCATTGTTGTCGCATGCATCGAGCTGCACAGTGTGTGCCAGTGTCTAAAACAGTCATTCTGCTTACTTCACATTGTCATGTGACGTAGGATGTATGTCATTCTTTTATCATTCATGTAATAAATGTATATCAACTGACCATGTCTACAGTATTGTCTGTCACTTCGCAGGGACCACTTTCAGAATAGGCGCCAAGCAACCTATGTCGTAAGAGGCGACTTACAATATCAGATGGTCAAACACAGCACATTTCAAAGTTTAAAACTGCCATGTTACCTCCATACTTGAGAGGTCAGATTTTGTTTCTAGTAAGTCAAGTCTACCTGAGAAGAGTCGACATAATTAGGCAAGTGAGGTGTCCCCAGGGAGAATCAAGATTAAACAAGGTCCCCAGCAGCCTAAGCTTGTCGTGAGAGGTGACATGTTATCGGGCGGTCAGACCGCGACCTGGTTGATTCCATGTCTCTACCCGACAGTGTGGTTCTTGTGGCACATGATTTCAGCCACTGGTCTGGCTGTTCCAGGTATGTCCAGGCTGCCTTGATGTTCTGGAACATTGCTGACTGGCTTTTTCTGATATTACTTGCTCCGACTGGGGAAAAAATAAAAACTCATTGTATGATTTTGTATATACGTGTAGTATGCGCAAGCGGAAAAGTTTAGAAAAAAATAGAAACCCAAAAGGTATGCAAAGTGGTATTATATAGGATTTAGGATTTAGGGATTCTGTGTTGTGCACCTGAAACACGGGGGATGGACAGTGCCGCCCAGATCCCGCTCCCACTCTGTGGCAGGGATTAACAACACAAGGGGCTTCTGGGTAATGGTTGGTTGTTTAACGCCGCATCCGGCAATATTCCACCTATGTGACGGCGGTCTGTAAATAATCGTGTCTGGACCAGACAATCCAATGATTGGCATTATGAGCATCGATATACCCGACTGGGATACGATGACATGCATCAACCAAGTCAGCGAGCCTGACCACCCGATCCCATTAGTCATCTCTTACGACAAGCACAGTCGCCTCTTACAGCAAGCATGGGATGCTGAATACCTAATTTCACCCATATCTTCACAGATCACTGGGGTAAGGCACTGCCGTCCATGCATGCCGATATGAACGAGTGGTGACTGGTGTCATATTGCCCCTACAGCTTTCATTGGGATGTGATTGTTTTTCATGCTGGCAAACTCCAGTCTAACAGCGCGTCTTTATCACAGGATGGTCACCGTGGTCATCGTGGCTGCGGAGGCAAACAATGCTCACTCAATGAAATGACAAAAGTGTTGACATGGCAACCATGAGAACATTTTCTGGAAGTTACATCCAGCTTTCCGATTACAGACAAGTAACTCCTCCGTTCTGGGGGTCCTTTATCCCCTAAACCATCGGTGTGCTTCAAATCAATATAAGCGACAGAAATCATTTCCATAATCATAAGAATTTTTTATTTAAAGAAGTGTCCCTCTATATATTAAGCATATGTTCCGTGTTGTTTTTCAGGTGGACAATTGACTTACCTTTGCATGTGTTGTTGATGGGTGTCACCGGTGGGCAGGATACTCTCACCTTTCGCGAACATCTAGTTTGATAGTGATTCATGAACACATACTCACGATAAAATCAGAATCCTGTAATGAATTCTGCTTTTAGCAGAGATTTTTTATGAAATGGAAATGTTTTTTTGTGGTTTTTATTCAAACAAATGGTGGTGATACCAGGTGTTCGTGGATCGATACTTATAATGTCAATCACTGGACTCGATTACTTACATTTAGTGAGTGAGTATGGTTCTACGCCGCTTTTAGCAATATTCCAGCAATATCATGGCGGGGGACACCAGAAATGGGCTTCACACATTGTACTCATGTCGGGAATCAAACCCGGGTCTTCGACGCGACGAGCGAACGCTTTAACCACTAGGCTACCCGACCGCCCCCGATTACTTACAGACCAGCCTCATATAGCTTGAATATAGCCGAGAGCGGCGTAAACAAACGAACACCACGTTAAGGTGGTTGTGGTAGCTGCGGGTACTGTATCCCCTTATCCGTTCATAGTTTAATATCATTGTTGTTTTTCTGTGTCTCACTGCTGTGGGCGACGAGTCGTCCCGTGAGCGGAATTAAATAACCAACAAAACACAATATGTTTAAAACATCCACAGTTAACATGGAACAGTCACAAAAGTTATATGTGGGATAACACTTTCTTTGTAAAGTACAGATCCTAGTACTTTGGGGGTTTGAGTCCCATCCGGGATTCGAGCCCACACTGTCAGAGGGGTACACAAAGTACGTGATCTAGACTACCAGTTGTCAGACTTTCATTTGTGTGGAAGCATCGGTGCCTGAGTGGGTTAGATCGCTTTCTCTGTGTGCTGGCGATTAGGTGCCTCACTCTGGCAGTGTGGGTCCGAATCACGGACTCAACTCCAAAAAGTACGAGAATCTGTACTTTAAAAAGAAACATTTGTTACATTTGAGAACTTTCTAAATGTCATTGTGTGTTCATTACATGGAACATGCGTATTAATCACCATGGAAACAACACTACCAAGTTGTATATTGTGTCAAAATTTAACCAAATCTCCAGTTAAAGCGGATCGTGCCTGAGAGTGAGCAGTTCATCTTTGCCTGGATCGTCCCCTCAACTGGGATCCTGTACAAGGACATCTCTGTCCTCTAAAGGCGTGCATCAGGACATTCCCCGCTAATGGGCGTCCCCCATTATAACGCTTCTCTCTGTAGATTGGTTTACGATTACGTTTGTTACTTTTGCCGAATGTTATGTATAGGATAAAACACGTCCGAGGGTTGTTATGATATTTAAAACCCGCACCCCGAGGGATTTTCCGAGGGAAAGGGTTTTCAATATCATAACAACCCGAGGGGAAGTGTTTTATCTTACTAATAAACCGATTTTGAACCTTAAATTATCCCCAAACTAAATTTCAACCCATTATAAGCGTACAATAAAGCACGTCCAAGGGTTCTTATCACATTTAAAACACGCATACCAAGGATAACGGTTTTACATATCATAAAACCCCGAGGGGAAGTGTTTTATCTAACTTATGAACCGACAAAAAGAAACTTAAAACAACATTTATCAACAATTTTTATGTTTCGAACATACTTTCCATGAACCTTAGGAAACGGGCGTAAAATAGCCATGTGGTACCCTCACTGGGCTACAGATATGAAGGTTGCGAGTTCGATCCTCGGGAATATAAAGAAAACATTTGTCATTTGATTTTACATTTCATTACATGCTACAACCTGAACGGAAGTTATATTAATTAATAAAATACCCAGGATATTATAACACATTATATAGCAAATATGTCTTAAATATCTTATAAAATCCCGGGGATATTACAACGTCCCCGTTTATGAGATTTAACCCGACTGGAGAACAATAGGATGACGTCACCGGAGGTTTATAATGTCATGCAACGACTGCAAATTCATTTGAAACTGACACCGATAGTCGTTGCAGTCGTTGAATGACAATAACATTCGGCAAAAGTATCAAACGTAACTGTTTATCTTCTAATTGTAAACCAATAGTGACTGTGTTCCGCCATCTGATTGGTCAGCCTACCTCGTCGATTATCATGACAAATCCACATAAGCCTCTTAACTGCGTATGAATAAATGAACGGTACTATTTCTCACGACAAGCCAAAATGTCGGAAGATAATGTTTCCCAGTCAGAAAATTTGGGAACCAAGGAGGAAGTTTTCGGTCTTGACCTGGATGTCCATACTGGAAGAATTGCCGAATGATGATGTCAAGTATTTCAGGAGTAATTCACGCCCATCGGCGTCGGTTTCAAATGATGTTGCAGTCGTTGGATGACAATACTTTTCGGCAAAAGTAACGATTGTTATTATTTATCTTCTTGGTGTGTTTCCAGCTGTGATGTTCACCCGTAAGCAATTTCAGTTGTGCTCATCTCCGTTTTCTAACAAATACCTTCAGAGAAAGGGTTTACTTTCTACAGGTTCTTCTCCTCCCTACGAAGATAACCATAGGTGCTTCCTGATTTAGCGTGTGACTTGTTGTGTTGATTCGTGCCTTGAGTTTGGGAGGTGTTTCTGTTGGTCTTAACCCAGCTTCACATACACGTTTTATTCTAACTTAACTACAGTAAATTACGTTTATAACGAACACGTTCATAACGAACTTATTTTTTAGTCCCGACCATTTGTTGTATAAATGCTGTATATATGCTTATAACGAACTAAAGTTAGTGGTCCCTTCGAGTTCGTTATAACCGTAGTTTACTGTACATCAATAGCAATAAATATAATAACAAGAGTTTGTTTCTTTGTAGTTTAACGCCGCATTCATCATTATTCCAGCTTTTTGACGACAGTGTGTGAATAATCGAATCTGTACCAGACAATCCAGAGATTTGACATCATGATCATCGATGTCCGCAATTGGGACACGATGACATGCATCAACCAAGTCAGCGAGCATGACCACCCGATCCCATTAGTCGCCTCTGAGGACAAGCATAGTCGCCTCACGACAAACATGGGTTGCTGAAGACCTATTCTACCCCGGATCTTCACGGGTCCTATTATGTGTAGTAGTAGCACCAGTGCCCTTTCCAAAATAGAATAGCAACCAAGGTGCCCTTAAAAGACGTGTTGCCTGACACTTTCAAGTCTGGCAACGCTGGTTTTCGAAAACTAGATTCCAAGCTTTCCAACCATACCATATACATCTTGATATATCTTCGGTACACCTGTTCCAAATATTGACACAAGATTCACCCGTCTATAGCTGTAAGGAATCCTACTGGTGGACTACCTCCCGAAAGGTCAGACCATGACTGCGCCTTGGAACTCATTGAACATCTTCCGTATTCAGATTTAGCACCGTCAGATTTCCACCCCTTACCAAACTTGTAGAAAGAAGTGCCTGGCAAGCATTATTCAAATGATTATGACGTTATTGCTTTCACGAAACCAGGAGGAAGCCTTCTAAACCAGTGGGATTCGGGCGCTCCAGCATCCTTGTCAGAACCGTGTGGGCCTCAGAGGGGAGTATGTTGAAAAATATTTGGCAACCCACTCCATCAACGTTGTCCATCATAGTTAGACTCGGAACCTTTCCCCCACTCCTCGTATGTCCACCTGTCAAAATAACGATCTTAGGAATAACCGAGTTGATAAATACAGAATACTAAACGATGTATTACCCTCTCCCTCGCTCGAGAATTAGAAGAAGACTGACACTCATTTCGTAAAACCAGTATGACACAAATGCTCGTGTATTAATCTCTTTGTAATCCAGTGTAGTCTTGTAGTCTTGTGATATGTCTGGCATAGGCAATACTTGGTTTGGGAGAAACGAGAACAAAACGAATTGTTTAAAATAATTAGATAAGTACTGCTGCGTGTTAGGCTTCGCTTCTTTAAGAAGACATCACTAGAATATGACGTTCTCACCTATGTTATACTTTCAATGATACAAACTCATATAAACACAGCCGTTTTTCGAGAGGCAACGCGGTGCCGTTTTCGTCAATGCATTTGGTGCCGTTTTCGGTTCGCAGCGGTTTGACGCGGTGCTGATTCGGCTATAAACCCAACCACCACGTGACCACCTTGCATGGAACTCATTCTTTGTTGAGCGAGCGTCAGCACCGGACGCGTGGCATTTTCAAATGTAAGTCTCGTTGCCTTCTCGTTGATGTCTTTTCAAATAAGTACCGCAATGTATTTTTGGAGACTCTCAAAAGTACAATTGCATTGTTTTCTATCACAGGTACTTTTAGGAACAGAAGTTTAGGTTCTTGTTGCATGTTTTGGTCAAATTTGTGCCATATCGGTATTTAGGGCTAGGGCATTGATTTTTAGATCTTGCTTTGTCGGAGTCATCCATTCAATATCTCCTTTAATATTCCCTGTCATGTAGATGTACTGACTATGTAGAACTTGCATGTCTCAACACCTGCTCTGAATGGCACCACTGGCTGCCTGAGAAACGGTGAAAACTTGTGTTGCAATGCGATAAGAAAAATGAATTTGCCTGTGTCAATTGTATGACTTGTATTATATATCCTACTATAGCCAATTATACTTCTGTTGCTCAATCTTGACTGAACATGGGTTGTCACATAATAATTTTAACATAAAGCATGTGACATGTTCTATTTATAGAACACATGATCCCATGCACATCATGAACTTTGCTCCAGAAGCCTGAAATAAGTCTTCCTTACTTTTGGATTCAAATATCTCTGACGTTATGTTCCGAGATTAGGACTTAGCTCCAGTCCTGTAATTCTTGCCCAACTGCCCAATAGATCAGGTAGCGTAAGGACCAGGAGACATTTGCCCTTTTCAAGGGTTTTGTTTTATGTTATCATTAGGACTAGTGGACTAAAGCTATTAGTTTCTAGCTCTGGCACAGTCGGGAAGTTACTTAGTTTTAGAAATTGCTACTTTCAGGAGTATTTTGCTACCTCGCCAGTGGTGATTCAGGCACCAGACCCAGTGTCAGAACGTCTTGCTTCCTGGAAGGACCAATTAAACATGCAGACTGTATATCTGCTGGAGTGAAGGTCAAGTGAGATGAGGTTGACTGTGAAACATGTATGTCAGTTGACTCTTTATTTCTATAAGACAACAAACAAATTTTCAAACAGATTTCAAGTGGAATCTTAATTTCAGGCCTACAGACGGAAGATGGTAGCACCACCAGGTTCCGCCAGTAGTACCAGCAACTCGGACAGTGGTCTAGGGAAGAACAGGGCTCCACACATTTGGGCGTTATATGGACATCTTTAAAAGTATGTCACATACAAGAGGACATTCATTACACACAAGGCAGAACAGTTTGAGCAGGCTGAAACATTTCCCAGCCTTTTTGGGTGATAAGATATTTACAACACAGAACTGTCTTTACACCATCTTCCACAAATCGAACAGAAGAACTTTCATAATTGCCATCAATATGATCAACAAAGACCCGTTTGTGTTCCCTGTGCAAAGATGTCCTTGGCCTAGGAGATATGCCGGCCCCATACAGGGGAAACACTGCAATGTGGAGGTGTTCTCGGGCATCAAGATGTTCCAACAGCAAGACTCACAAACAGGTGAATATCATGTCAGATTTCTTCCAGTGAGTTTGCTTAAAAATGCAATAACTGAGGTCATGGAGAGGAAGTATTTTATGAGATTGACACCATGGATTATAGTACTGTTGGTAGAAATTACAATGAAATGTTTACTCTTTTGTTTTGTCCCAATTTGGATATGTACAGATTGTGATGATGATGGCGATCACAAGTGTCCAAGTTGCTGCATCATTGATTGTCTGTTGTATCATGTGGCACCCCGATCGTGTGGCACCCCCATCATGTCACACACCCATCATTTCTCACCCCCATCATGTCGCACCCCCATCATTTCTCAACCCCATCATGTCACACCCCCATCATGTCGCATTCCCATCATGTCACCCCCCCCCCCCATCATGTCGCATTCCCATCATGTCACACACCCGTCATGTCGCATTCCCATCATGTCGCACCCCCATCATTTCTCACCCCCATCATGTTGCACCCCCATCATGTCACACCCCCATCATGTCGCATTCCCATCATGTCACACACCCCTCATGTCGCATTCCCATCATGTCACACACCTGTCATGTCGCATCCCCATTATGTCGCACCCCGGTCATGTCACCCCCCCCATCATGTCACACCCCCCATCATGTCACACACCCGTCATGTCACCCCCCCCCCTCATCATGTCGCATCCCCATCATGTCACACACCCGTCATGTCCCACCCCCATCATGTCGCAACCCCTTCATGACGCACCCCCGTCATGTCGCATCCCCGTCATGTCACACCCCCATCATGTCGCATCCCCTTCATGACGCACCCCCATCATGTCGCACCCCCGTCATGTCGCACCCCCTTCATGTCGCATCCCCGTCATGTCACACCCCCATTATGTCGCATCCCTATCATGTCGCAACCCCGTCATGTCACACCCCAATCATGTCACACCCCCATCATGTCGCACCCCCATCATGTTGCATCCCCTTCATACCGCACCCCCGTCATGTCCCACCCCCTTCATGACGCACCCCCATCATGTCGCATCCCCATCATGTCACACCCCCGTCATGTCGCACCCCCATCATGTCCCACCCCCATCATGTCAGACCCCCATCATGTCACACCCCAAACATGTCGCATCCCCATCATGTCACACCCCCATCATGTCGCATCCCCTTCATGACGCACCCCTGTCATGTCGCATCCCCTTCATGACGCACCCCCATCATGTCACACACCCGTCATGTCACACACCCGTCATGTCCCACCCCCATCATGTCGCATCCCCTTCATGACGCACCCCCATCATGTCGCACCCCCTTCATGTCGCACCCCCGTCATGTCCCACCCCCATCATGTCGCATCCCCTTCATGACGCACCCCCGTCATGTCGCATCACCGTCATGTCACACCCCCATCATGTCGCATCCCCTTCATGACGCACCCCCATCATGTCGCACCCCCTTCATGTCGCATCCCCGTCATGTCCCACCCCCTTCATGACGCACCCCCATCATGTCGCACCCCCGTCATGTCGCACCCCCATCATGTCACACCCCATCATGTCGCACCCCTGTCATGTCGACCCCCCATCATGTCGACCCCCCGTCATGTTGCATCCCCATCATGTCGCATCCCCATCATGATGCACCCGACCGCCTCCGTGGTCTTGTGGTAGTGCGTCCGCCCGGAGAGCGGAAGGTCCAGGGTTTGATCCCGGGCCGCGTCATACAAAAAGACGTGAAAAGATTGTACTTGTTGTTACCCTGTCTGGCGCTCGGCATTAAGGGGCTAAAACAAGGACTGGTCGGCTCGGAGTCAGTATACTGTGTCTGAGTGGGGTATTCATGTTAAACTGCAGCATGGTATCTCAGTGAGCTAGCACTATAAATCGGCATCAGTCCGGACTAGTACAAGCAGCCACACACACACATACACGTGCATGCACGTCGCTATATAAGTGCAATAATCTTGGACGCGACGTTAAACCCAATTTCACCTCACCTCACCTCACCTCATGACGCACCCCCTTCATGTCGCATCCCCATCATGTCGCAACCCCATCATGTCGCATCCCCATCATGTCGCATTCCCATCATGTCGCACCCCCCCCATCATGTCACATCCCAATCATGTCACACACCCATCATGTCGTATTCCCATCATGTCACCCCCCGTCATGTCGCATCCCCATCATGACGCACCCCTGTCATGTCGCACCCCCATCATGTCACCCCCCCCCCCCCCCGTCATGTCGCACCCCATCATGTCACACCCCCCCCCCCCGTCATGTCATACCCCTATCATGTCACACCCCCGTCATGTCACCCCTCCGTCATGTATCACCCCCATCATGTCACACCCCATCATGTCTCATCCCCATTATGTCGCACGCCCATCATGACAATTAGCTTGCTGCTGCATGAAAGAATTTTTTTTGGGTTTGTTGTTTAACGCCACACTCAGCAATATTCCAGCTATATGACGGCGGTCTGTATAAATAATCGAGTCTGGACCAGACAATCCAGTAATTGATATCATGTGCATCGATCCACTCAATTGGGATCGATGACAGTGCATCAACCAAGTCAGCGAGCCTGGCCACCTGATCCCGTTAGTCGCCTTTTACTGCAAGCATGGGTTGCTGAAGACCTATTCTACCCCGGATCTTCACGGGTCATTTACGGGTCATGAAATAAGTGATGACAAATAACTACATGCTTGTCGTAAACAGCGACTTCGGGGATTGGGTGGTCAGGCTCGCTGACTGAGTTGATGCATGTCTTCATATCCCAATTGTGTGGATCAATGCTCATGATGTAAATCACTGGATTGTCTGGTTCCGACTCAATTATTTACAGACCACCGCCATTTAACTGAACTGCGGTGTTCAACAACAAATAAAATCAAATTAAAAGCTTCATTTGTTTTATTCCCCCGGTTTGAAAAAGGAAATATTTATGTTTTAGCCATCACAAGAATGGGGTCACCAAGGTCATCCATTGGATGAAGATTTGGCAAAGACACATTCACGGTAAGACATATTGCCCAACAAATTGTAAACATTTGTTCGCAAAACAAAATATTGTCCTTCTGTGTCATGCTTGCGAAATGACATTATCGTATGTGTACAAGAAGACAGTGTTATCTCTTTTATTTCTTTAGTTGCTGATATCACTTCTGCTTAATGCATATGTTCATGTTTATACTGTTGGTATTCCAAGTTACCATACGTCCCATCAATCTTTGCTAGTTGTAAGGGGTGACTAACAGGATCAGATGGTCAGGCTCGGTGACTTGGTTGATACATGTCATTGTACCCAAATGGTGTGGATTGTTGTTCACAATATCAATCGCTGGATTGTTTGGTCCAGACTTTATTATTTACAGCCTGCTTTCATATAGCTGGAAAATTGCTGAGTGTTACGTTATTACTGCAAACAAAACAAAAACAAAAATCTTGTCTCTCTCACTCGTTTCCTTGTGTTTGTTGTGTATATGACGGCGACCTGAGTGAGTGAGTGAGTTGGGTTTAGCGCTACTTTGAACGGTATTCCAGTTATATCGCGGCGTGTCAGCTTGATGTGGGAGGAAAGCCCGAAGTGATGCAGGTCACAGACGTTTTCCACTTTGGTGACACCTACAAGCACGGTTTTGGGGCTGACAAACCTAGAAACATAATCGGGGCGAACCCGAATTGGAATCCACGATCATAGGTTTCTGGCATGCCCAAGGGACACAACTCTGCATAGCAAATGGCAGTGCCTTAGACCCCTTGGATACCCGTGCCCACAACAGCAACATGAAAGTCCAGTTTGGACGAGAGAATCCAGTGATTGACATCATGAGCATCAATCCATACAATTGGGGTACGATGACATGTATCAACCGAGTCACTGAGCCTGACCACCTGATCCCTTCAGTCGCCTTGTAATTTGCTCACTCACTCACCTTGTAATTTGCTCACTCACTCACTCACTGATTCACTCACTCACTTCCTGCTTCCATGCTGCAGAGGCTGGTGGCTACAGTCTGAAGTAGAATGAGATGCCATCTTCCTGACGCGGTGGAGGAAACGGAAGAAAGAAGCCAAGAAGACCTAAACTTGCCCATCCTGACGCCACAAGGTTGACGGTACCATAGTCTACTAAATTGTGCTGAGGACGATGAAATCCAGTGATGGTAGCCCTCATGAATTAGTATTTGAGGGCTATAATTATGACCCAATTCTCAATGCTTCAGTTTCGCTACAAACCTGGATATAACTGACAGAAAATGTAAACATATTAAACATGTCAGTCATGTTCACGCAGGACTAGCTACAAACTCGCAGGACTAGCTACAAACTCGGAGGAGCAGTTAAATAAGGTTTACACTAGTCGTCAAGTGTGTCTTAGAGAGGCTCCTAGACCGTAAACAGAAGCTTGAACTGAAGTGTGAGATCTGTTAAAGGATAGTTCAAGCTTCAATAAAATTCATGTAGTATGTCATACTTTGTCCAGAAGAAATCAGTAAAAGTAGAGCTCAAAATTCTGTTCAGTAATGTGGTCCATTAAGGCGTTTTCTTTTTGTTGGTGGGATGTCCGTGGTAGAGTGTCTGCCGATGGTTCGATCCCCGGCCACGTAATACCAAAAGATGTTAAATGATGGTACTTGTTACCCTGTCTGGCGCTCGGCATTAAGGGGCTAAAACAAGGAGTCAGCATACTTTTTCTGAGTTGGGTATTCATGTTAAACTGTGACGTGGTATCTCAGTGGGGTAGCACTATAAAATTGGCATTAGCCGGACTAGTACAAGCAGACACACTCGCATGACTCTGTTAGTGCAATCATCTTAACGTGACGTTAAACCCAATTTCACCTCAACACATTTTGTTGGTGGCAAATTAAATTCATTGTCCAATAAAATGTTGGGTATAATTTATGAGAGCACCAAAAAGCATTTTTGTGAAGAATATAGTTATTCTAATCAGATTTAGATTTTGTTTGAGGAATAAGATTTTATCATGTGCTGACACACTTTGAAAACGCATATTTGAATTTTGCAATATTAGCAATATGGTCACAGAAATGAAATTATGTTCTGTGTATTTAGGCATGAGATAATGAACAACAATGTCGGTAATACGGGCTCGAATTTCAAAGTGTTTTGAGATGTGACTGGCAAAATTGTTTTAATTGTGAGTTAAAGTTCATTATGCGTTTGTTTTGGTATGTTATAGATTTTTTAATTTTTTTAAAAGTGGAAAAATAATTATTGCCTTTTCCTTATTTTCCAAATATATTCCAACAAATAATTTGTTTTGTTCAGCACTGATGTTTCATTTGAGAAGTTTTTGCACTGCCGTGTACTTGTAAAGACGAAGTTTGTTAATGTGAATGATGTGTAGTAAGCTGGCAGATCAGAGAAGTGGCATAGAACTCCACTCACTCACTCACTCACTCACTATAGGGAAGTCATCCCTCAGTGTGGAGGCATGGGTGGCCCTGTCGTCTAAGGCGCCGCAATTCGCTGTGCAGAGTTGCGTCCCTTGGGCACGGCAGGAACCTATGTTTCTAGGTTTGTCAGCACCATACCCGTGCTTGTGGGTTTCACGGAAGTGGTAAACGTCTGAGACCTGCATCACTTCGGGCTTTCCTCCCACTTTAAGCTGACACACCGCGATATAACTGGAATACTTTTAAAAGCGGCGTTAAACCTCACTCACTCACTCACTCACTCACTCACTCACTCACTCACTCACTCACTCACTCACTCACTCACTCAGTGTATCTATCTACAAAAGATCAGCATGTAATTTAGCAGGTCAGTTTAACATTTATGAATATATTTCACACAAATAAGATTTATGGAAACATGATGTTAAGGTTTCAAAGGAAGCCTGTCTTGTCAATGATATGACCCTCTTGATCATGTTAGTCATAGCACAGATGTGTTGTTAAATTAGCCATTGTAGTACATATCTGTACACCTAGTGCTTATTGCAACACCTAAAGCAACTGTAAAACAATGTGGTGAAACAAAGCAGGGATGTTTACAATGTCTGCAAATGTTTTACATTGATATGTATTATATTGTTCCTCATTAACACAGACCATTGCAGGACCTGCCCTGTAGAACACACGACTATGAGAGTCTATCATGCATGGCTTGTGTACAGACTTGTGTATAAGCTGTCTATG